GTTAGCAGTCAAATGCCTTAGGTAGTATGCCACCAGAGGTCCCTCTCAAAGTAGAGTCAATCTTAATGACGTATATGGAGCAAAGTTTTCAGAATCTACATTTGATACATTATAAAATGCAAAATAATAATGTCAGAATATCTTTTATTAATAAATGTAAATGAACTAAACTTGGCTATTATAAGTAAAAAATGTCAAGTTTTATAACAAAGAAAACTCAATTCTATGCCCTATCTAAAAACATATTTAAAATAAAATGATTTATAAAGATTGAAAATAAAAGGATGGGCAAATATGTACTGAACAACTGCATACATAAATAAAGTAAGATCTGTGATCTTGGTGTCAGACAAGGTAGCACTCTGGTCAAAAGCATGAAGTGAAACAAAAATGGGACCTTTATAATTTAAAGGGTAAAATTTACAATAAGGACATAGCAGTTACAAACATGTATGCCCCAAGCAACAGTGTTAGGAATACTAAAACAAAATCTACAGATATGTGAGAAGAAATAGAAATATATTAGTAATAAAACCAAACCTACGTTGGGTTTCCTAAGTAATAATATTTATGGAAGTAAGTTGTCTCAACTTCCTTCCACAGAGCAGCTGGTGAATTTGAACCACAAACCTTCTGGTTAGCAGCTTAATGACTTAGTCACTGCAACACCAGAGCTCTATATTAGCAACTGGAGACCTTTATTCACCTTGATGGATGTCAAACTATAACTCATAGGCCAAATGGACCCTGCTGCATGTTTATATACATTCCATGAGCTAAGAATGGCTTCATATTTTTAAATGGTGGAAAAAATAAAAAGAAATAGTATCATTTATTTTTTTCAAACAAAAATCATATGAATTTCAAATGTCATTGTCCATAAGTAAAGTTTTAATGGAACACAGGCATACTTATTCATTCATATATTGTTTATGGCTCTAACAGCAGAGTTGAGTAGATACCATATAATGCCTAAATATTTACTATCTGGCTGTTACAAATTGAGCTGTTTCCCCCAGAAAACGTGTTATAAATCCTAACCTCTATGCCTATGGCTATAATCCCATTTGAGAAGGGGTTGTCTTTGTTATATTAATGAGGAAGGATTAGTAAACGATGTATCTTGAGTTACTTTCTTTTGAGATATAAACCAAAAAGAAAAAATCAAACACACTGCCATCAATGCAATTCCAAATCATAGCAACCCTACTGCATTTCCAAAGTAATAAATCTTTACAGAAGTAGATTGCTCTGTCTTCCTTCCACGGTGGAGTGGCTAGTGGGTTTGAACCGCCAACCTTCTGGTTAGCAGTTAGATGCCTTGGGCACTGCACCACCAGAGCTCCTGTTTTGAGATATGTTGTGTGTGGTTGCTATGTGCCGTGGAGTCAGACCTGACTCATAGCGACCCCTTCTTGGGTTTCCAAGGCAGTATCACTACAGATATAGATTGCCCAACATTCCTTCTGAGGAGTGGCTAGTGGGTTTTAACCACCAGCCTTCTGGTTAGCAGTCAGGTGCCTTAGGCACTACGCTACCAGAGCTCCCATTTTGAGATATAAAAGAAACTAAACAAGCAAGTGAGTAAACAGAGATGGGAGAAGAGAGATGCCAAGCCACATGAAGATTACTCAGGAGCAGACGGGCAGAAGAGACAAGAACCTTCCTCCAGAGCCAACAAAGAAAAAAAAAA